CAGGTTAGGGAACTTCAGCTTTATCCAAGATGTCAAGCCAGTTATTTCTCCTTTATCGACATGAAACTTAAAAAAAAAAATACTAGTTTATTTAATCGGGGGAATGAATATGACACAAATGTCTTCATGTTTATTTCTGGAAGAATGTTTCATGTAGTAATAATACCCACATGCTAAGTACTTTTCCTTCCAGACAGTCTGTCTCGTCTATTCTGTCAGGCTTCTGGATTACCTGATGCCCAGAGAAGAAACCCTCACCTCCCAACTCCCACTTTCAGCTTGGTACACACACCTTGTTGCTAGGACTTCAGACAGCTCAAGGGCTCCCTCTAGTGGTAGCTAACCCAGGACACTCTTTCTTAGTTTGAGTACTAATTATTGACCCAGTCCAGGGCGTCTGAAGAATGAGAATATAGAACAGATAAGTTCTTTGCAGTGAAGATATGACGATTTATATACATATTGCTGGAACAGAAGGTGGGGTTAGGTGAATACTAGGAAAAGGGAACAGAGAAAATTCTTCTGTTGTTGAGAAGTCAGAGTGTTCAATCACAACTGGGAAATTAGGAAAAGTGGCGTGGAAGATTCGACATTTCTCTGGATCTGAAAGGATGAGTGAAATCTGGCTTTGTGGCAATCCAGGGATAGGGTAGGAAGAGGATAAGCATCTTGGCTAGAGGGAATGGTGTTGGCAAAGGCATGCTGGCGAGGAAGGCATGGCAATGTGAAAATTTGGGGAAGCGGTGAGTATTCATTTCAATTTAATTGGAGGATAGGATCTGTGAAATGGAAAAGTTCCCTTGGGATCAGGATGGCATTTTCCAGCCTTGGTAATGATGAGGAAGATGGTTGGCAGAGGGAAGGAAGTTGAATAAGAAGGTCATTTACATTCCTTGTGTTGTTGGTCATGGCTCCAGGGTGGAAAGTCACTGAGAAGTGGCCAGATTCCAGATCCTTCAGCAGCCACTGCCATAAGTACTGGAGATTCACAGAGATTGCTCCCTGCCCGTTCACCCCCTTCTTCCTAAGGGATCTTTTCCCAGGCTCCAACATGGTCTCCTTCATGAGGAGCTACGTAGACTCATTTAGTCTGGTTCACAGGCAAGCGTCAGAGTTCCACTTGACTCAGGCTGAGGGCCTTCCATGCCCCTTCTCCCAGCCGCAGCTGTGAAGAAGGGCAAACCAGTGAGAAAGAACTGAAGGGAAGTGTTTGCACCTTCCTCTGCAGCACAACTCCTCCTGCTCCGGTGTCTGCCTCAGTCCAGCAGGAGACACACTACCACCTGACTGCGCTGGTCGTCTGGGAGAAGACGCACTTCCCAGATACTAAATCTGAAGAGAAATCAGGAAAGAGGAGGATGAGGGGGTGGCGGCGTGGAGGGGAGTGGCTGAAGTGAGAGACCGTGGAGGTCAACCAGTGAGACAAAGCAAAGAGTCACCCAGGGTTTGAGCACTAAGTGCCTTCACCTTCTTATTGTCACCACTTAGATGTCTGTCTGGCGAGTACCTCAAACTCTGTGTGTCCCAAGCAGAATTCCTGGTCTCATCTCCTGTCCAGGCAGCTCACCTCATAGCCTCCGTGCCTGCCTGACAGTGCTGACCTCCTCATGGCTCGCGCCAGGAGCCTTGGAGTCAGCCTTGGTTCCCCTGTGCCTTTCACACCTCATACCCAGTTCTTCAGGAGATACTAGAGGCTTTCCAGTCAAAATCTATCCTGATCCGTCTGTCCCCCCACCTGCGCTGCAACTATCCTGGTCTAAACCATCTGTCACCCGCATCACAGCAGTAGCTCCCTGCCCAGTTCTTTCCCTGCGTGCTGCTGCTATTCTAAACTGAGTAACTAAGAGGGGTCTTCCAAAAATAGGAGTCAGATCTTGTCACTTCTCTGCTTCAAACCATGAATGGCTTTTCTACTGTCTCCAGAGTCAAGGCCAAGGTTCTTACAATGGCCCCCACACTGTGGCCACAGTATCTGGGCTTGCTCAGCTGGTACCCCTCTGTCTTCACCGATCCTTGCCACACTGGTTTCTTTGCTACTTCTCATAGCCACCAGGCACACTCCTGCCTTGTGGCCTTTGCACGAACTCTTCCCTCCATCTGGAGTGCTCTTCTTCCACATATCCGCAGGACTTACCCTCCCCTATGTAATATTGACCTTAGGAGGCTGTAATCTGTTTTGATTTGGTGTCATGGAGATTATCCATGGTTTAGAGCAGAGAAATAGATCCTTTTATGGAATCCTATAGGCCTTCTTGTCTACTGATTAACGAGAATGAAACTGCTGTTGGCTTTTAAAGACAACTGGGACTGCACAGAGGTGTGTGTGGCGCATTTCACAGTTACACCAAGAAGCACATTTTTGTGTGGGGCAGCACATGAAGGTCAGGCTGGCTGTAATGGATTCACTGATTCGCCATGTGCAAGGTTTGTCATTCTCCATTCAGTGACGGTTGCAGGCATTCTTATTTAAAAGATCAGTGCAAGTTGTGTTCAAGGAATATTTGGTGGTATTTGTGATACGTCTTAAAGTTCTGTAATTTTGAGCTTCAATTATGCCATTTAACCTAAAATATATAGAGGAAGAATACATCTATAGTTTTTCTATTTTAGCTGATTTATTTATTCTTTGGGTTTTTAACCTCTTTATTTTTACATTAATCTTCGAAAGACTTTGCTATAAAAATAACAGATTTGGTAGACAGAACATGGGTTTTGAGACAAGAGGACATTCATTTTAGTTTGAGGTTTACCTTACTGGTGATTATTAGAACGGAGAAGTTGTTTAATGTTTGTTTCTCCATTTTATTGTCTGCAAAGTGAAAATCCTAGTTCTTGTGCAATCAGGTTGTTGCTATAATGAGATGTGGTCATGTATACTGGCTCTGGGTAGTTGCTGGCTGCCACTTTGAATGTCATTTCCCGTTGGACACAGAAGAGTACACCAGTGTTTTGGGATCCTTTATGGCTCAGGAAAACATCTTTAATGGCTTTGAAAGCAAAACTCCTGCTTGTAGCTGACTTCCACTGGACCCATTTTTTGTTTCTGTTTTAAAAAATTTAGTTGAAAACACATCTCTGTTCTTTCCACTGTCCACCCTGCACCCCCATGCCCAGAGTCAATGGAAACACACCGTGTGTTCTCTCCTCCCCCTGTCCAGCCCCCACGTGTAAATATGCACACATTTACTTAAATGTTTGCTCGGTGCGTTGATGTCAGGGGCAGAAATAAAGATGGAACTTGTCTTCCGTTGAGCTTATTTCTGGAGGACATCTCCACATTTTCAGTTTAGACCAGATTTGATTGAGTTCAACATTTATTCAGCTTCTACCATGTGCCGATCACTTTGCTGGACTTGGGGATTTGAAACTGTAAAGTAGTGGGTCTAGCTCTTGGAGAGAACAGACAGAAAGCTATGGTTATTCTGTGTTAGGATGTGTTTCGTGACAGGAATACGTGTACGCCACTGCTGGGCTATGAGGGCACGGCGGTGATTATTATCTTGATGTCCTTGCGGACAGTGCTGGGTGTGAGCCCACTCACACGTGGGTCTCCCTCCCTACCTTGCCCTGTTCTGTGATCACTCTTCCATTTAGGGCCATAAAACTGGCCAGAGAATTAGTAAGCGTGTTCTCTGGACTTTGAGAGGAAATCTTAGTGTTAGATACTCTGCCATAGTCAGGCTCTGCATCTCATTTTTGCTTTGGGAAACAAAGTCATCATACAGGGATAGGGAAGCGTAAAATGGCATGTTAATTATCTTGAAATATTGGTCAGATTGGTTTTGGGGGCAGGGGAATAGGATTTGAAGGTCATCTGCAAGAGAAGAGCCTAGGGGGTCTACGGCAGTTGGGTGCCAGCCAGATGGACCTGCGGGCGGTTTCCAGCACAACGCTTAGTCAGCCTGCTTCCTCCCAGCTCTGGCCCTCATTGAGTGTGTCCTTTCTGATTAAATATTACATATATTCACGATGTGCCCACTGTGCTGCATACTGCCCCCTGATAGTTACAGGGGTGATGCGCTGCTGTCCGGGTGCATCTCTTGGTGGGAGGACACCTACACTTGAATTATATAATCAACAACTAGAATTGAACATGGGGGAGGGGACCATAGAGATTGTCATCTGTTTCACTTTACTGATCTGGAGTCTGGGCCCAGAAAGGCTATGGGACTCTGCTCGGGCACTTCATCAGGTTTTCTTCTGCTGTGCTCCAGTGACTGCCTGTCCTCCCTGCTAAAATCCTTGTGCGGTTAGGCTCTTGTTACAAGGTATCCCCCCATCCTCCTCCCTCTTTCTTCCCTCCTGGAACTTCCTTCCTTCTTGACACTGTTCCAGGGCAGCTGGAGAAGGGATAGGACGAAAGTCTTGCCCTCAGGAGCATGTGCTTTAGGGAGCCAGTAGCAAATAAGCAACATCAGCAGTCAAGATAAAGCAGGGAAGGGCTGGGGGTGGGATTGCAGGCGTAAGCAAGGTGGTGAGAGGTCAGACCTCTCTGAGGAGCTGACGTTTGAAGGGGGAGATGTGAGCCGGGTGCTCACGTAAGGGGAGGGAGACCCCAGCCAGAGCTGCATGAGGAACAGTGCTGTGTGCTCTAGAAGCCTCCCGATGATGAGGGAGGTCAGGGCGCCGCACACTGCCAGTGTGTATACATTTGCGGTGGGGGGGGGTGCTGGAAGAAGCAGTGAAGGACCTCGGTCTGGTGCCTGAGATGCTTGTAATGGGCTTAAGTTGGTCTTTAGACACGTTGGTGGGCCGCACCGTGTGTGACCTGAAACTCAAGGTGTGAGGAGTAGTGACCAGAGTCCGGTTACGGGATCCCTTTGCTTTAGTTATGGGCCGCCCAGAATAACAAGGCCATTCTTCTCTCTCTTGGACTCTCCCCACAAAGCTTTAAATGAAGTAGTGAAGTGGGCCCAGGAGGATCGCATGTCGTTGCGCGCCGTACCGTGCGAGACGTCTCCACAGAAAAGCCTATAGATGTTTTCATCTTTCCATTTCAGACGGCCCATCTGAGGATACTGAACTTAAGGACGCATATCTCATTCCAAGAAACATCATGGCTGAGCCAGACTACATAGAAGATGACAATCCTGAACTAATTAGGCCTCAGAAACTGGTCAATCCTGTCAAAACATCCCGCAACCATCAGGATCTTCACAGAGAACTTCTCATGAATCAAAAAAGGTACAGTGGTTTCTTGAGCCAAGTTTTCCTTTGGGGACTTTGATTTAAGAGATTTTTTTCTTTTCTTGACTGTATTTAAGGCTGCCTTATTCCTTCTAGTATGAGCCAGGCATCCCTCCATGAAGTCAGGTCATGCAGGCACAGCCGCCACTACCGCTCTTACGCCGTGGGCAATAGAGCGTGTCCCCTTCTCAAGTGGACATGGATTATGGAATTTGGTTGGAAGGCGTCGATTAAGGATGAAAGAGAGTATCCTAAGTTGAAAAGAAATACATTCTTTCTTGAATTTGTGAAAATTTTGAATTTTCCTCTTATGTTTGGGGAATTGTGGGAATCCAAGGTAAATACAGCCTGCATTTGTGAGTGGCAGGAAGAAGTCTCTAGAACTACTGCAACTTAGACAAAAGCCCTCTTTTTTTAAAAGTAACATTTAAAATTATTACTATGATCATTTTTATTATTTTTTCTGAGGGGAGAAAACATTTACCTTTTTTATCTTCTTTTTTTTTTTTTTTAAAGATTGGATTTATTTATTTGACAGGGAGAGACAGAGACACAGCAAGAGAAGCAACACAGCAGAAGGAGTGGGAGAGGGAGAAGCAGGTTCCCTGTGGAGCAGGGAGCCTGATGCGGGGCTCGATCCCAAGACCCTAGGATCATGACCCAAGCCAAAGGCAGATGCTTAGTGACTAAGCCACCCAGGCACCCTACCTTTTTAAATTCTTTGTAAACTATTTGTTAGCTCCATATGTACCATAAAAATTTTTGGATGTTGGGTTGATGTAGTCTGCTTTTTAAGTGATTTTGGGCAGAGCCAGGTGACTAGGAAAGCTGAGGATGCAAAGTTACTTTTATTCATTAGGACACAAAGTTACTTATATTATTTAAAGACCTAGTAAGCTCCCCTTAGAACTATCCCCAGTTCTGCAGAATGAAACTGTTGATCTGAATTGTGGGACCACAGGTTGGTCATCACCCAACTCCTTACCAAGACCTTGTTAGCTCTCATTACACTGAAGGGTATATAGACCAAGTTAAACAGTAGGCTCATTTTTTCGAGGGAAGGCCTAATTTTAGACGTGATGAGGAGGCAGTCCTTCTTCCCCAGTGCACCCCTGCCAGAACTCATAACTCCTGTTGAGGAATTCAGTGTGACTCTACCCTTCCTCCAGGCTAGGAATGTGCCTTCCTCCCTTTTTGTTACCACCATGCACTAGTGTACCATTGGATTCATGCTGCTTAAATTGAATGCAAGTTTGATCCCTTCTGGATAAGTGCTTAGCTTCTAACTGTCTTTGTCACATAAAAGATATATATAGATTTGGTATCATTGTGACCAAAGCAAAACAGGAACATGTACATTCCTAAACAGGGCCACAGAATTTGAGGCAGTCTTGGCTGGGAAATGATTCCTGCCTTTTGTTAGGAAGATCAAAAGTTTGGTATAGGGATGCCCGGGTGGCTCAGTCAGTTAAGTATCTGCCTTTGGCTCAGGTGTGATCCTAGGGTCCTGGGATTGAGTCCCACATCAGGCTCTTTCCTCATCAGGGAGCCTGCTTCTCCCTCTGCCTGCCACTCCCCCTGCTTGTGTGCTCATTCTCTCTCACTCTGACAAATAAATAAGATCTTTAAAAAAAAAAAAAAAAAAAAAAAGGATGTTTGATGCACTCCAAAAGAGTGTAGCAATCACCACTAACTAGTTTCCTGATTGTCTTTTCATTCATGGACCTCCGTTCCCTTATCTGTAAAATGGGAGTAGGGGACATCTCTGAGGGACATTCTAGCTCAAACTGGGTTTTGTTGTTTGTTTTCCTATTATATCTATGAAAAGGCTCCAAGTCAGAATAGAAGCGAAGGTAAAAACCAAAATTGGCAGAACAACTGTTCTCTGAATTACAGGCTACAAAAATATATTTAGCACCCCGGGTTATATCTCTCTAAAACATACAGGTTTGTATAATTGAATCTGTTGCCAGATTTTCTAGAATAGCCACTCTGTGAAAATGGACCCCCTTCTGTCTGATTTTTCTCTGGCCCATGATTTCTTTATTTATTACACAGTTGACTCTTTAGTTAGGCTCAGCTCAAATAATTTTGGAGAATGCTCTGTTCCCTTGAGTACTATAGTGTAGAAAGGATGTCCTTTGAGGTTAGAGGAAATCATTTAAATCCACATTTGCCTTTTAACTTCACCTACCTTTCTGACCTTGGAAAAGTTCCCCCTTCCTGAGATATGTGTCTTCATCTATAAAGTGGGAGATAAAGATATCCTTCTTCTAAAACTTAAATAATAACATATATGAATACCTACTAAAATGACTGCTGTATAATAAATGCTTATTAGTCCCATCCATGTTCCACTTCCCATGGAGCATCGTCAGGAAATCCCCATTGCTTTTCCCTCTTTTTCCCTAAAGGGCAAAAGAAAGAAAAGGCAGGAAGAAGGAAGGTTTCAAAAATCAAATGAATATATCTCATCCTATATTTTCGGGTCTTTCAAATAAGGTCTTAATTTGGTACAGTCCTGTCGTTAGAAATACACCCGGTTTGTGAAGTGAAACCTCTCCAACAGTTTTTTTTTTTTATTCGTCTTCCATTGTATATACTTGCTAAGGACTGTGGGGTTTTTATTTCTAAATTTTTGTGCCAAATGACAGGAAGTTTCACATGGATAATATGTTTGGTTAAAGGATAATTGTACTTGATTACTGGTTTGTATCGTAACAAAAGTCTGCTTGCTTTTCTACAATTCGTAAAGGGCCTTCTCGTATTTTATCTTATCCAGTGATCTTTCCAGTAACCCAGTGTGTGTTATCTTGGGGTCACCCTTATTTGACATGTAAATAAGAGAAAACTCAGAGAATAAACATAAAATTAAAGGTAGTTCATACAGATAAGTCAAGTAGAGTAATAAAATCAGTCAGAAAAAAAGCAGAGAAAAGCGAGGGAGACAGCAGTGAGATCCACACTACGCGAGTGTTCTGTGGAGCCCTGTACCTTTGCTCTACAGAGACACAAATTTGGCTCAAAGCCCTGGAGCAGTTGTTTCACAGAACTTTTCAGGTTACATTTTATTTTTATTATTTTTTGTAGTATGTTCAATTAGCCAACATATAATACATCATTAGTTTTTGATGTAGTGTTTAATGATTCATTAGTTGCATATAACACCCAGCGCTCATCACCATATGTGCCCTTCCCCCACCCCCTGTTACTCCCTCCCCGGACCCCTCATCCTTCTGTAACCCTCAGTTTGGTTTTGGACTCCAGAGTCTCTCATGATTTGTCTCCCTCTCTGATTTCTTCCCATTCAGTTTTCCCTCCCTGTGCTATTTTAGAGATCATAAGATAAAAGCAGAGTCACTGGTTAGTTTCAAATTAAAAGTCTTTACATTTTGAGCTGGTTGCAGTCTGCTATTAGGTCTGATTATGAGGACCGTCAGTCAGGTTCTTCGGTTCTGTAGGTGTTCCCAGTGACATTATTTCAAGAGGCATTATTTTTTGTAGTTGAAAGATGAGCATTCAGGAAGTCTTAAAAATATAGGGGTATTCCCAAATAACTTACAGGGATTCTGTCTTCTCTACAATGAGTACTTTTGGCCACACCTAGAGAATACCCAGTCACTTAAACACATCCCTAAAATTGGTTCTTTGGCTTGTATCCTCCAGTCAGTGGTTTCTACTTCCCTGTGGTTTTAGTTGATCTTCATCTTATGTGCTTTGCTAAACATAGAGTTCCTCAGTAGATACTTGCTGCTGTATCAGGTGGGAAAAAACACGGGAAACTGAGTTAGAAGTCTTTGCATCTAGAATCCCTGCAGGTAGAAATGGCTAAAGGCAAAAATGTAGATAAGACAGGCCACAGCAGAGGATTCCAAGATTAAAGGTGAAGGGCTGAAATCCAAATGCAACCCTCCCCCTCCATCCTAAATAAAAAATTGGGCCAGGAGATGTTTGGCTGTGTGGGTAGGGGAGCTGTTCTGTTAGGGTCTGAGCCAGCCCTTGCCTCTGGCTCCACATGCTCCCAGGTGAGGAGGGAATTTCCCCTTTAGGGGCTTTATGCATCTGGGGTAGAGGTGGAGTGAGTGTAGACCCTTCCAGTCTGCCTCTGGATGTACTCAGTGGTTTATATGAAATCTAAAACACAACTTTAAAAGTTGTCTGTAGGGACACCTCGGTGGCTCAGTGGGTTAAAGCCTCTGCCTTTGGCTCAGGTCATGGTCTCAGGGTCCTGGGATAGAACCCCGCATCGGGCTCTCTGCTCCGCAGGGAGCCTGCTTTCTCCTCTCTCTCTCTGCTTGCCTCTCTGCCTATTTGTGATCTCTGTCTATCAAATAAATAAATAAAATCTTTAAAAAAAAATTAAAAAAAAAAAAAGTTGTCTGTACATTTCATCACCAATGGTGGAAATATAAATTGTTGCAGCCTTTTTTGGAGGGCAGTTTGGCAATACCCATCAAAATATAAAATGCGTAAATTGAGGAAGACACAAAGAAATGGAAAAATGTTCCATGCTCCTGGATTGGAAGAATAAATATTGTGAAAATGTCTATGCTACCTAAAGCAATCTACACATTTAATGCAATTCCTATCAAAGTACCATCCATTTTTTTCCAAAGAAATGGAACAAATAATCCTAAAATTTATATGGAACCAGAAAAGACTGCGAATAGCCAAAGGAATATTGAAACAGAAAGCCAAAGTTGGTGGCATCACAATTCCGGACTTCAAGCTCTATTACAAAGCTGTCATCATCAAGACAGCATGGTACTGGCACAAAAACAGACACATAGATCAATGGAACAGAATAGAGAGCCCAGAAATAGACCCTCAACTCTATGGTCAACTAATCTTCGACAAAGCAGAAAAGAATGTCCAATGGAAAAAAGACAGCCTCTTCAATAAATGGTGTTGGGAAAATTGGACAGCCACATGCAGAAAAATGAAATTGGATTATTTCCTTACACCACATACGAAAATAGACTCAAAATGGATGAAGGACCTCAATGTGAGAAAGGAATCCATCAAAATCCTTGAGGAGGAGTGGGACGCCTGGGTGGCTCAGTTGGTTGGACGACTGCCTTCGGCTCAGGTCATGATCCTGGAGTCCCGGGATCGAGTCCCGCATCGGGCTCCCAGCTCCGCAGGGAGTCTGCTTCTCTCTCTGACCTTCTCCTTGCTCATGCTCTCTCTCACTGTCTCTCTCTCAAATAAATAAATAAAATCTTTAAAAAAAAAAAAAAAATCCTTGAGGAGAACACAGGCAGCAACCTCTTCGACCTCAGCCGCAGCAACATCTTCTAGGAACATCGCCAAAGGCAAGGGAAGCAAGGGCAAAAATGAACTATTGGGATTTTATCAAGATCAAAAGCTTTTGCACAGCAAAGGAAACAGTTCACAAAACCAAAAGACACCTGACAGAATGGGAGAAGATATTTGCAAACAACATATCAGATAAAGGGCTAGTGTCCAGAATCTATAAAGAACTTAGCAAACTCAACACCCAAAGAACAAATAATCCAATCAAAAAATGGGCAGAAGACATGAACAGACATTTCTGCAAAGAAGACATCCAGATGGCCAACAAACACATGAAAAAGTGCTCCACATCACTGGGCATCAGGGAAATACAAATCAAAACCACAATGAGATACCACCTCACACCAGTCAGAATGGCTAAAATTAACAAGTCCGGAAATGACAGATGCTGGCGAGGATGCGGAGAAAGGGGAACCCTCCTACACTGTTGGTGGGAATACAAGCTGGTGCAACCACTCTGGAAAACAGCATGGAGGTTCCTCAAAATGTTGAAAATAGAACTACCCTATGACCCAGCAATTGCACTGCTGGGTATTTACCCTAAAGATACAAACGTAGTGATCCGAAGGGGCGCGTGCACCCGAATGTTTATAGCAGCAATGTCTACAATAGCCAAACTATGGAAAGAACCTAGATGTCCCATCAACAGACGAATGGATAAAGAAGATGTGGTATATATATACAATGGAATACTATGCAGCCATCAAAAGAAATGAAATCTTGCCATTTGCGACAACGTGGATGGAACTAGAGGGTATCATGCTTAGCGAAATAAGTCAATCGGAGAAAGACAACTATCATATGATCTCCCTGATATGAAGGAGAGGAGATGCAACATGGGGGGTTAATGGGGTAGGAGAAGAGTAAATGAAACAAGTTGTGATTGGGAGGGAGACAAACCATAAGTGACTCTTAATCTCACAAAACAAACTGAGGGTTGCTGGGGGGAGGGGGGTTGGGAGAGGGGGGTTGGGGTTATGGACATTAGGTAGGGTATGTGCTTTGGTGAGTGCTGTGAAGTGTGTAAACCTGGAGATTCACAGACCTGTACCCCTGGGGGGAAAAAATATGTTTATAAAAAATAAAATTAAAAAAAAACACATTAAAAAAAAAATATATATATATATATATAAAATGTGTAGATGCTTAGCCAGTGGTTCTACGTCTGTGAATGTAGCCAACAGAAATATTTACATAAGAGTGTAATTGTACATGTATACGGAAGTTCACTGCCTCATTGCTTTTAACAGGGAACAATGGGAAACAACCTAAATGTCTGTCAGGGGAATGGGAAAATTTTGGGACCTCTGTACTGTGAGGTCTTGGGCAGATGTTGGGAAGAATGAGGACATGCTCTGCAAGGCTGTAGAAAGTATGGAAGAGCGCAGACCAGACTCTTAGTTATCTCTGGGTGTGGGAATGGGAAGCATCATGGAGCCAGGGCCTCTACCTGCCAGGTACAATTCTGACCACACAGAGAGCATACAAGGTAAGTGGTGCTCCCAAGATTTGTTTAACAGGAGGAGTTTGGGTGTGCTTTTACTTTTTATTTTACATATGTATACGTTACCTAACCCATTATTCTGTAAAGAACACATATTTTTAAAATTAATTTATTTTAGAGATGGGGGAGGGGCAAGGGAGAAGGGAAGAGAAACTTAAATGGACTCCATGCTGAGTGGGGATCCTGACATTGGACTCGATCCCACGACCCTGAGATCACAATCTGAGCCAAAACTGAGAGAGTCGGATGCTTGACCTAGTGCGCCACCCAGGTGCCCCTAGGACATGTATTCTAAAAAATTGTCTTGGCCTTCTGTCACGTCACAGCCACAGGAAGCAGACTCAGAAATAACTGTTGGTGCTGAGCAGTTCAAAGCCACCAGGACTTGAGCACCTATCAGTCATAAAGGAATTGCAAGTACTTGTTAATTATATATGTCACAATTGATTAAAGCAAATCAACTATTAACCACGCACAGAATGACACTGTAGTCTTTAGGAGATTTGGAGAGGCTCGTTTCTGTCTTTGGACACTCTCTCTGTAATCTGGTCCAGTTTTTGACTCAGAATCAAATGGGCAGTGCTTGACTTTTTCCATTCAGCACAGAAAGTGAAGTGATCTGCTGTGATAAAATATTAACAAAATTTGTATGACTTTTTGACTGCTGTAAGTGCAGAGCATTTATCAGATAAGCACCATTTTCCTGAGCCTTCTGTGACTAAGTATTTTTTCTTACTGCCACCATTGTGTGAAATCTTTGACTAGAAAATGAATACTGGATATTACTTAAACCCATTCATAGGCTGCAACAGAACGTCAGCTTAATGTTCATACATCAAAGTTTGTTCAGCAGCCTTTGCATAATCCGGGAGAATTTAATAACCATTGAGGTTAATTTTGTCAGTGAAATAAAGGGAAAGGAAAATGTTTGAAATTTAAATGATGCAGATAGCTAAATTCTTAATCCTCAAATTTAAATCCCTTAATTCTGTCTGTTGTATCATACTGAGGCATTTTAATAATCATGAAACTAAGCAGGTCTTCACTCAGATTATTTACAAACAAATTTTCCTACATTTGTTGTGAGCAAAGTACCATAAGCAGTTTTTATTGCATGTAATATTTAATTTCCAGAATCGTCTGTCCATACTTCTGTCGACATCTAAGAACTTAGTAACTGCAAAACAAACTGTAAATAAATTATAAAAGTTACACATGTCTTTTGCCTCCTTTATTGGAATGAATTTTAGTATTTTTCTCCTTTTTTTATCAAAAGTTCTGCTTTTGTATAAAATTGGGAAAGTGGAGACGTGTATGTTATTTTGACTATCCTTTATCTGTAGTGATGGAATATACTGATCTTTGGTCTGTAAACCACAACTCTGAAAAATTGGTGATTTAGATAGAAGAGATGCCAAATTTCTAAAAATTATAGTTAGATGAAGAAGTGTGAAATTGAGAATTCATTCACAGATGTGATAGTGTGAGCTTGAAAGAACATTGAGATGAGTGTGTTGCTGAGAGCATACACTTCAGAAATTGTTGTTAGATTTAACGGTTACTCTGATGACTCCTAGATGCTGAGACACATTGGCTGATTGACATAGTTTAGAGAACAACCATTCAGGTAGACATTCCTGATTTACAGACTAGCAGTCACCATCAGCAGGACCAGAAGGTGCATGGGGAAGTGCCTGGACCTATCTCAGTATGGTGGATTCATCAGGGCCCCTCTTGCTGCCCAGAAAAGCCTGAGTCCCTGTTGGGTCAAGTGTGCACGTATGTGGATGCGTGAGAGTGACTACGCACACTGTCACTTAAGCCCTGTGTTGTCGGAAACTGACAGTGTTCTTCCTATTTTATGGTTTCATTTTTATTTTAAAAGCTCTTAGTAAATGTTAGTATCAAGTTGAGATGACTTAGAGCTAGTGGAGACTTGCTACAGAGAAAGGAAAGATAGGAGAAGGTAGGCTGGTGAAGCCAACACCTTGAAAGCCTGGATAGAGAAGTCTTGAGGAAATGGTAGAAAACTAGAGACAAGGAGTGTCCTACCTAACAGTTAAACATAGACATTCCATCTAAGGAGATGCCCTTGAATTACCCCAGAGATTCTGGGTGGAGGGTTGCTAGTGAATGGTCTAAGTTTTGGTTTTGTTTCTGCCCATCTGAAGAGATGGCAGCCTTATTTCTCTGTCAGAAATGTAGACCTTCCCCGCAGCCTGATGTCCGTCCATCATCAGTAGTAAACTACACATCCAGAGTGGTCCCACTGCAAGGAGCACTGGGAGTCTTGGGAGCAAAGATCCCCGTGGCCATGCACCCCCGGGAGCTGATGACATCTCAGATGTACCTGCACATATTCAAGAGCCCTCTGACAAATCTGAGAATTTTGGAAGAGGTGTCCAGGGCCATTTTGCTATTTAAATTTCTGTGCTAGCCTGTCTCTGGCTACTTTCAGTACATGGGATTGGGGGCTCCATCTTGGGAAGCCTCCCCTAAAACTTCATGTGGAGGCACTTCATACTCTGGGCATCTCCATCATCACCATCTCCACCATCTCTGGCCTCTCCATCTCTGTCATCTCCATCTTCTCCATCATCTCCATCTCCGCCATCTTCTTCTCCATCTCTGTCATCATCATGAGTGATCATAATACCCACTGAATGAGCATGCTGTTCCAACCTTCCCCATCCCAAACCATTCTCACTAACCTTTGCATAGGCTAGTATCTGGCACACAGTAGGTGCTCAATACATTTTTATTGAATGAGTGGATTTTGCTTACTCTTGGAAGTTGTTCTTGCCCTTTCTTTCATGCTCATGAATTTCTGGTACCGCCAGTGTTGACTAACTGGTAGTAGGCATCACAGTAATGCTAATTCAGTAGACTTGTTTATGAAGGGTGTGTCCATTGGATTAAAACTTTGTTTTCTTCTCTTTTCTTTTTTTTTAGATTAAGACTTTCTAAGTTTGTTCTTTCTTTCTTTCTTTTTTTTCTTTGCAGGGGTCTTGCCCCTCAAAATAAGCCAGAATTGCAGAAAGTAATGGAAAAGAGAAAACGAGATCAAGTAATAAAGCAGAAAGAAGAAGAAGCACAAAAGAAGAAATCTGACTTGGAAATAGAGCTATTAAAACGGCAACAGAAGCTGGAGCAGGTAAGAGTAATGGGGATGAAAAGGTTTTTTCCTTTATTGAGATAAATCTGACATTCAGTATTGTGTAAATTTAAGGCACACAGCGTGTTGACTTGGTACATTTTTACTGAGGTATGTTTGGCCCTGAGGCTTAGCTAACACTTCTGTCATATCACAGAGCTGCATTTCTCCTGGTGCTGGGAACAGTGAAGATCTAGTTACTCAGCAAGTTGGATGTCCATAGTAGTTTTGTTGACTGTAATCACTGTTCTGTGTGTTGGGTCTCCAGGACTTCTGCATCTACTGGCTGCAAGTACATACCCTTAAACAGCATCTCTCCCATCTCCCCAGCCCCTGGGAGCCACCGTTTTACTCTCTGCTTTTATAATTTTGGGGTTTTTTTAGATTCCACATATGAGAGAGATCATGCAGTATTTGTCTTTCTCTGTTTGACTCATCTCAAAAGTTATCTTTTCTGTTCTAAGAAATAAGGCTGTTGGAATAAGCAGAATTTGCCAGACCTATTAGATGTAAATGTTTATTGCACAAAAGGAAAGTATGAGACAGAATGTCAGCAAATGGGCTAACATACATTCAAAGTAAAGACAAGGATTCTACTGAGGACTTAGAAGAGATTCAGGAGGCAAAGCCCAAACTGGGGAATATCCCTGAACTCACAGCAGAGTGTCGGGAGCGCAAGCAATTGAGTGAAATTCAACTTCACCGAAACTGAGCGCAGAGCCGACTATGCCCTGGTCTCAGGAGCTTGTTTGCTTAGCTTTGATTTCAGGTTCTTGTCGTCTCTGGTATTGCTGGTAGTACCAACCAGGGGGTTGCTGCTCCCGCACAGGATGAGCCCAGAGCCCGTATGCAGACGAGCATATATCCACGTAAGATGGAGACCAGGAGAGAATGTCTTCCACTGGGAAACAGAAGGTGTTAGGGACTTTGGAAAGTGAAGGAATATTTTGGAAAGGCTCTCAGTATGTAAATAATTTTCCTGTTTCTGAATTTCATTTAGCTTGAACTTGAGAAGCAGAAATTGCAAGAAGAACAAGAAAATGCCCCAGAGTTTGTGAAGGTTAAAGGCAATCTCAGGAGAACAGGCCAAGAAGTGGCCCAAGCGCAGGAGTCGTAGGCCCCGGCGATGGAGACGGCGCTCCTGGGCCATCACGCGGGGAAGCTGTGAGCACGCGCCTCCTCAATGCTTAATCTCAGGGCCGAAGCCCCTGGCGAGAACCCCAGCCAGCAGAGAACAGTTATTTTAAGAAGGATTTGGTTTTGGTTTTCCTACAATCTGGGTGGATAAAAGATCTGTGACCGTTGCGGTTCCTATTCGCCAAACGAAGGATGTTGACCAGCACTTAAGTTGGGATAAGTGAACCTGTGTTCAAAGACTTAAACAAAAACAAAAACCCCACAACGGCAAAAAAGAAAGAGGACACTGGAATAAATTCTAGAAAGTTGCACTACTTGGTTTTTCCTTCTAATCCAAGTTTAATGGGGGCATAGAGCCTTTTTTCTTCTAAAACCTAAAGAAAATGTGTTTTGTTTTTTCCTTTAGTTTTCTGTTAGATAATTTAAATCAGATAGGACGGATTTGACCTGTCACACCCAACATGTGTAAAGTCCCTTTTGAGACTCCAGAGCTGTCTCATTTCATTACACTTGGACCTGTGTTATATTGAGACCCAAGAGTGTTAATATTGAGCACAGCTTTTACCCTTGTTGACATTCAGATTCAGAAATAGGGTGAGAAGGTTAAAAATACGGAAAAAAATTCATAAAAATGTGGAAACAAATACATGTAAAAGATACAGAAAAACACATAAATGTTCATCTTGATCTTATTTTAATTCCTTTGCGTTCTCTGATACTAGAATGTTCCATGATGACATTCCAGTTCGGAGAAGGAACATCATATAAATCCACCTGTTGCTTTGATAACTGTTAGAATTTTGTTTTGTTCTGTTTTGTTTCACTTTTGAATTTCTTGCTGAGCTAGTCCTTGTATATGAAACAGTCTCCCAGTTCGTTGGAGAAGAAAAACTAGTCCATATTGCCCAACTTCAGTGTCAAAAGTAGAGGGTGCAAATCTTTGAGAGCAGTGTGAGGGGCACTCCCATTGGGAGCTGGGCGAGGAGGAGTTCTTTGGGTATTTTAATGTGAAACAAATGTAGGTTGGTCTCCAGGAGGCCTAGGTGGAAGGTTGGTAGCATTTGTACATTTTGAGTATCATTAAATCCAAGTTTTGAAAATTTCAGATTAAAGATCACATGTTGCTTTGCCTTTTTTTTTTTTTTTTTTTCTTGTGAAGAAAGATTGTTCCACTGCCCTGTTGGCGGTGATGACTCCTGTCATGCCTCTCAGGAAGCACTGAGGTGAGGGGAGAGGCTGCGCAGCTTCCGGATGCTAGCCAGCTTGCTACTCCAAGTGAAGTCCCAGGCGAGTAGCAAAATCCTGACGCAAAATGCATTTTATTACTGCTGGTATGGGCAGGGGTATATTCTACTTGGGGTGATCTGGAGGAATTTATGTGGATTCAGTAACATCCATCGAGATGATCCAGCCAATCATTTCTACAGTGAAGAGTCATCTTAAACTTCTTTTAAAACTGGATCCCGAGCTTTTAATCCTAATAAGCATAGTAGAAATTAGCTTTCTGTGGGAATGCTTTAGTTTTCATAGCTGACAGGTTCATATTCAACCCTTTTGTGAACAAGATAAAGGTAATCACGATGACAATATACTGCTAGTCAGAGGACATGTCGGTTACACCTGAAGTGGGTGATTGCTCGTCAGTAAGTATTAAGGAAAAACGTGAGATGCTTAAGATAAAATGTTGCTCTTTAATAGTTTGCTTTCAGAGGATGGAGTGGTAACTGGTTTTTTCCCATCCTTCTAAGCTTTGAGAGAAGAAAGTACGCTAAATGATCATCTTCAAAGTACCGTTCTGATCACACGTTGATTGGAGTGCTTTCTTTATGTATTTGGGCTGATGATGAGATTTGCAAAATGAAGATTCAGGAGTGGCTCATAGCTTTTCACCTAACTGGATGTTGGATCTTAAGTCCTGTGCCCTTGAAGCAATTCTGCCACTTGATAAAATTCTCAAGGGCCCTGAGAGGCCCCGTTAGCAGGACCGATTCTCTTCCTAGAACTTACCCAGATTTCATTCCTCACTGGGAAGAAGAATTACAAAAACATGTCCCTCCCAGTCTCACTCACCAGTCTGCACAGTGACGTCTGGTGAGTAGTACCAAGTCTGGCCAAAAGACTTGTAAATAGTGTGAAGTGATGTCTTATGACCAAACGGTGGTATGTACAGGTGAGCAGCTCTCTGAAGTTGTCAGATCAGGCTCACAAGCTTGAGTTTCAGAGGGTGCCCGTGTCTCCTCCACACGTTCGTACCAGACAGTCCAAACTCCTAGGACTCATGAACATACAAGCAGTTTTGTGCTTTGAGCCACTTTTTGACCAAAATGGCTCCATTTTTCCACTCTTACGGTTTTCTTAAACTAGTTCAGTGTTTTATAGTCTCCTGGTAGTAAAGTAGTGTTGCTTTCTAAGCTACAACAAACAGTTGACTTTATTCTTCTACTCCGAAAAATCTTGACTTGTTTGAGTGTATATAATATATATAAAGGGAGCCTTAATGGATTTGTTTTCATAATTTAATATTTTTTGTATTTGCTCTTGTACAATTGTTTTTAATGGAAAGTATTACAGAATTGAGGGTGGAATTCTTAGAACCAAAGTTATTCTTAATAAAAATCACCACGTGCTTGGACCATGAAGCTGTGTTTGTCTCTTCTGTTGGAGATGGATGTCGGGCACTGAGGATGGGGGTGCTGCGTTCAGCTCAAGGGATAGAAGGGGGTTTTAGGTTTCTCTTTGGTGACCGTCCTCTTGACAGCGCTCTCCCTCCTGCCCCAAATCAGTTATGTCCTCTGGAGCCTTTTGTCAGTCAGGCTGACAGTTCACTGTGTCAAACAAATTCATGCTAAGGGATCATGCTACTTTTTGTATAAAATGTGGTATATTAGTAGCTGCGGTCAGCCCTTCAGATCGAAGTATTCTGAATTTTAGGTGGCTTGGCAGGACTATGGAGGTATATGTTGGTAAGGGCTATTTCTTAATGCTGTGAACTCATACATATGACATATTTGACGTGTGACCATGAAATTATTCTGCTTTTTCAGCTAAATTTACATTATCCTCAAAAAGTTACTTTGGGAAACTCTACACTTGATGACTTTGTACTATTAGTTAAAATAGTTGGGAGATTCTGGTCTCTTTGTGCCTTTATTTTCCATCCCCCAATCATTACTCACCAAAGACACTACAACTGCTAGTGTCTTTGGACTCTATTTTGAAAATCAGATCTTCTCAGGGCAGTGTAGCTGTCCCACCTCTAAGGGTATACTGTGGGCTCTAAAGACCAGTGCACTAGATGGGCTCCAAAGCGATTTGTGCCGTAGTTTCATCCCTGGAATGCAAGCAGCCAGTTTCCCAGGGGAGCAGTTCTGAGGCTGTTACTCCGTTTCCTAGAGCCACTCTATGCTTGCTTGTTTCTTAGAGTAAGAGTTACAGATTTGAAAAAAATGCCGTTAAAGTGTTTGATAACATTTGAAATGCCAAGGGCAGCCAAAAAGTATTAGAATAAAACTGGCAGGCTTACATTTACTAGTAGAATGAGAAATGGAGTGTTTTCTTTCTAAGATCTTAGGGTAAATAAAATCTTTATGAGGTAGCCTCACAATTACAATTTCTTCCTTTTTGTTTCCTCTTAAGAAGATGCAGTCTATCAACTAGGGATGTTTTCAACATCTTCCCACTTGTTTCTAGATATCCTGCAAGATGGTAATTGCCAACCAGAGTACAAAGGACACTTGGTTATTTATTGAGAGTGTGATGATTGCTGCTTGGGTGCTGTTGCTCCCAGGCCCCAGGGATCTATTTGTGTGTGTCAGTGTGAATATATATTTACACATCTGCACTGATACTTATTTTTAAGTTTCTAGTTATTGGAAATCATGAGTTCATATTAATACTCTCAAATATAACCTAGAACTACCTTCTAGCTTTCCTCTTTCCGTATGTGTAGCTTCTTTCTCTAGCAGTGAACACCTCCTCCATGTACTTACTCATATTCACACACCCCACCCCACCCCACACCTAATCTATCTCCTGCCTTCACTCAGCACCGTCCCCACTCTGGCCCTGCCTATAGGCTTTGTGGCTGAATTATCAAGGAAGGAAAGAAGCAAACAGGTTTTTCTTGGCCTTTTTAAGCATTGATTGTGAATTTAAAGTACCTCAAATCTCTTGAACTGCAGATTTAGTATGCCTATTTCGTACCTTTCAAAACTCGAACAATATGCTAACCACGCTGGATGTGTCAATTTCGGCTCCCTAGAGAAACAGAGCCAAGAAGAAATAAGAAAGAGTTAGTGAAAGATATGATTGATTGGTAGGTAGGTAGATAGACTCGCGAGGAATGGGAGTCTCCATGCAATTATGGAGGCTGAGAATACCACCATCTGCTGTCTGCATCCTGGAGACCAGGAGAGCCAGCCAGTGGTGTGATTAAGCTTGAATCTGAAGGTGTAACGCACAGTCTGAGAGCAGGTGACCCTGTTGCAGCTCGGAAGTCAGGCAAAGGGAGAGAAAGGGAGTGAAACCTTTCTGCGTCCCCTCTTGTTCAGTTCTCACAGGCCCTCTGTGGATTGGTTGGGGGGCTGGCTGCCTACTGGGCCCCACTGATCCAATCATCAGTCTCCTCTGGAAACCCTCTCAGGGACACACCCAGAAATAATGTTTAATCTGGGTACCCTGTGGCCCAGGCAGGTTGACACATAAAATTAGCCACCATACTTGAATACTGTTAACACAGTATTAAAAATAATGTACATAAACCTATTTACAAGTCAACTTATGAGCTTAACGCCCTAAAATTTTTTACTTTAAAAATACTCTCCTACTATTATGGCTGCATTTATTTTCATATTGTCCCAGGGATTCAGTCATATCTCACTCTATTTCCTGGGCTTGTAGTAATCTTATACGAAGCCTAAAAGAAAAGGAATTCTCCAGACTAACTGAGAGCACCAGCTAAGGACAAGGAGCCTGGCCACACAGTGTAAAGCCAATTCAACCATGAGCCACAGGCCTTGGATCAAGTCATTTTATAATTCATTCATACTTGCTTTGTCATAGGATTTTTAATATCTGGAATTTTTTGGAACTTGGTGTCTTTCCCAGAAATGTATTTAATTTTGCATGGCAAGGATTGCCTTACTCGTCCGAACTTTATGATACATTGATCTTGTCTATTAGCATTATTGAAAATTAGAAATGCCTTATCGATATCCTATAGGATCAGTAGGATTATACTGCGGTTAATTGGTAGGATCATGTTGAGATTTTTGTCTATAAAGAATCATCAAGTCTGTGTGGCGAATTCTTTGAGACATCTGGCTATTATCTTGGACATACTGTTCTGTCCATTTAAATTTGTTACTGTGTCTCATCAGTGACTCCTTTTCTACTTGGTTATTGTATGTGACATATGACCACTAATGACGATCAGTCTTCTTTCTATTTGTACTATTTTTTTGAGTTTCCTTCATTTATTCCTTCCTGCATGGATAGCTAGAAATAAGCACATGCCAATGCTTTATGAAGCTATGTATTCTTAGAACAAAAATACTCTCATATAGAAACAATTCTTTAAGCATATCCATCCTTAGTTTGTATTAAAATTCATTTTTTTCTCTTTTGGGTATCATGAATCTGGCCTTTTGTAGATTTAGCTTCTTAGAATTTTTATCTCCTTTTTTTTTTTGGATGCTCAGAATTTCAGAACTTGGCTAGTGGCAACCCCTCAAGGTTATTCCTATGTCTTCTGAGTTTTATAAAATATTGGATCTAACAGGAAAGTATCCTTACTCTGTTACAACAGAAGGATGTTTCAGATCAGCCTAATTTTTTTTTTTTCCCGACATAAGACATACACTTGCCTTTCAAAGAGTCCTGTTTCCTCTTGATGCAGAATGGGAATGGGGACCACTGTTTGGCATGAGGGGTGCACAGGAGAGTTGTTAGTGGACAAAGTGCTCCTGCACTTTTAGTAGTGATAGATCTAGGGGACATGAAGTCACCCTGGATTTTCCATCTTAACCCTTTAGGTGAGACTTACTGAACCGGAAACCTTTCTATTACACTTAGATTTACAGACATATTTTCCTTTAAGAATTATGAAGCAGAGGGTTGAGGGGCACCTGGGTGGCTAAGTCGGTTAAGCATCTG